ATAGAAACCCCAGATCGTGGGGACATCATGTGGAAAATCCATGGATTTTGTTCACGGCGAACCACGGGGTACCATGGCGAATTTTCACGGCAAACGAAGATGACCAACTGCCATAGAAGTTGCCCATGGAAATCCCTGCAAATCCATGGAATCTGTGGAATCACGATCATCAACCACGGTCCTTGGCTACTGATGATGTGAAAGAAAAAACAATCAATGAAAATCATAGATACCCTTCGATTTTCGCCGCGCAGTCCGAGAAAGTGAGATGCCAAAAAAGTCGGGACTACTTTTTCAACCAATTTCGGGCCACAATGTATCCCAGTAAAACTGGAGTTGTTCCAAGACGCTGTACATCGACCAAATGCGTCCCAAAAATTGGTCTTGGATTGCGGAGAATCCGTATTTTGTTGCGATCTATCAGATGATCAGCAACAATTAATACTAAGTATACCGTAATACCTCACCCGGAACTGTCATGAACTGTCCATATTCTTTTTCATCATTATCCATAAAATTATCCATAAAATCTTCTCGGCAACTGGCATCCCAGCATCCCGGCAGCACGACTTTGCACAGGCCACATCTCCGCCATGGCTTTGCTTCTACGAGCAGCCCGCTGCCGCACAGCTTTGGGTGTGCGAGGAGCAGGGAAGCTCAGGACTTTTGGGGCAATCAACCATCAGAAAACTGGGGTATCAAAACCATGAAAAAACCAAGCATTCTGTGGATTTTTGGTGGAAACTCAGGACTTTAAGCCACAGATTTCAAATTTGTCTAGTGGTGAAAGCCCTAAGCTCTAGTCTTGATGGTTGAATTATCTATTGATTCAATCCCAATCGTGATGGTTTTGCAGGTCGCAAGCTCCTCGGTCCGACTTGGAGGTTTCCCCCCGTGCGCCGGCTCAGATTCTGAATGCACCATTCGGGTTGACCATGTTTTTTCCCCACCTGCCGGGCGAGGTTCTCTAGATTTTATCAGAGTTGCTTCTGCCTCCTCCTTCTTCTCCTTCTCCTTCTTCTCCTCCTCCCTCAACCGCGAGCTCCAGATCTCAGTGGGCACTGCCGGACCTCAACTACGAGCTCCAGATCTCGTGGGCGCTGCCAGACTTTAACGGCATAGGCATAAATGTCAGAAGATAATAGCCCTTGAGCTGCCATAGTAGGGATCGCTCGATGTAAAGTAATGTCTGGTTCCGCAAACATGAAATGCTCCTGAAATAAGGGGACTCTTGAAATTTGAAGGTTGAGGATATCAATTGGGGACATGAGAATCCCTGAGAATGCTCAAGACGTTGGTGCTATGTCGCAGGTTCCTGCACACTCCACCACCTCCTCCTCCTGAGTTTGAGCCAGATGGCACTCCCAAGAAGTGCCCAAAGAGGGGTGGACATGTCCCTTACTTTAGATAATGAAAACAAATCCAAACTGTTCATATTAGAATATGTAACATGAATGAATATGTTATATCAGATAAGCATTGGATGGGTTTTAGACTCAGAGTTTTTGTCACCAATTGCCACGATGTCGCTCACAGAAAAACATTTGGGCCATGTGGATCATTCCAATGCCCCGGAGGTCACGGGATCAATCATGATCAATCCATAGCTCTTTGAATAGCAGCTTTGGGACTCAATTGGTCAGATATGGTCAGTAGACTAAGCGCATAAAAGGTTGACTTTCAGACCGAACCACATCGAACCACAGTGTCCATTCGAGGTACCCTTTGATGCAACCGGTTTGGGACCATGGCTACGTGCTGTCCTGAGCTGTGAGCGGAAAGTTGTGTCCCTTCAATGCATCCCATTTTCAGCTGGTTGGTGGTTTGGAACATGTTTTATTATTCCATGTATTGGGAATAATCATCCCAATTGACTAATATTTTTCAGAGGGGTTCAAACCACCAACCAGATTTTTGTATCGATGTCAAATACCAGGATTGGGAACACTGGACTTTGCTGCCAGCGGGAATGTTCTGGCCTTAAAGTGGACGCCATTGCCGTTTGCAAAAAAACATAATTAAATGAGATTCCACGTAGCAGTAGAGAGCTAAAAAGGAATCCGAACCCGAAAACGCGCAGATTTCAGATTTCGTGGAATATGATTGCAATATTAGGGAATTGCAATGTCATGTTCAGATATGAAGCTGCAAGTCATGTTTGGTGGTGAGTGGGAGTATCATATATCATTTCTGTGTGGCGACAAAAACGTGGCGCAATGCTAAGTTTCCACACGGTCTATTACGGTGAATTTGCCCAGGACACCTGGGATCATCCATCGGTCCTGGAAGATGATGACACCACTGCCCCCCCCCAAAAAAAAAGGGAATGAATTCACCCAACGATGTGCTGAAATTGACCATACATCAATACGGTTCCATGCAAGTCCCATGCAAACTCATATTTGTTTAGTCTCCTCGTGTGAATTGTCAAAATTGTGTTGTTCTTATTGAATGCAATTTAGTAGATACATCAGAGTCACAAGGCAAAGGAATGCAACAATGAAGTATCCCCAGCTTGTAAAGAATCGTTTTCAATCCTCTAAAAGATGCAGCATTCTTTTTTGAAGAATCGCAGTCTTCTTCAAATGATATGGTATCACTTCAAGTAGGCAATATTCCGGTGCGATATGTATATAGTCATATAGTGTGTTTTCCAATTTACAGCCACCTCCTTTTCAAGAAGTCATGTTCCTGCAAAAACCACAGATAATTTTCTCCACACATGTACGCAGTATTCCTTTGAAACGGTTAAGTCTTCCTAGTTTGTTGTTCCTTAAGAACCAGGTTTTTATCTGAAGGAAATGGTTCATGTATTCAATACGAAAGAGTTCTGCACTCTTCTTAATTAATTGGTTCCATTTTTTTGTAGAGGGTACTCCCAAAGATATTGCCTTATGCACCAAGGAAAATCCATATATGATTTCAGAAAGAATGCTGCATATGTATAATATACAGACAGGAAACCCTGTAAAAGGATAGGGGACTCACTAATGTGATGACGCACTTCATGTCAACAATTCATTTCGACCGTGGCTCATATGCAAGGTTTACCGGTCCATTATCTTAAGAAAATATTGCATCTCCCTCAAGGAGATCATAGCTTTCAGGAAAAAGAAGCAACACTTTCTATACTCGTCAAAGAATACCATATATACTCTTTTGACGAAAGGAGCACTATGCATAATATATATATATAATATATATATACATATATAAATATACGTATATATAGCCCATGTATATATATATACACACAAAAGAACTTCATATTGACATTTGGGATTATATGTGAATGTCTGAGGGAAGCTTGCACCCTTTTCGAAAAGACAATGCACTTTTTTGAAGGAACATATTCCAGATAGCTGCAAAGAAACATTCACCTTAATGCATGCTATGATCACAAAGAGACACCATGGTATATAAAAATGGATCCTTATTTGAAATGGCGTTGGATTATGCTAGCAGAAGGCACCATACTTCTTTATTAAATTGTATTGAGGTCTTTTTCAGACTATCACTGCGATACTTCAATCTTCCGAAGGGAATGCACAAAGCCAGGCCACACTTTCCTTAAGAAACATCGCGTTCTTTGAAAACTACAACTTGGGATCACAGATATTGGAAGATTGTATGTAAAAAGATCCGACCCGTGTCCTACGTGCCAAATTCTTCAGAAAACTAAATGGAAATGGATGACATATGATAAAATGCAAAATTGCCTTCAACTTCAACCGATGCCTAAGTCTGAGAGCCTCTGTTTTTTCCGAATTTTGGGACAAAAAGGCTAGAACCAGCCGGAGTCATGATGTAGGGCACTATGAACTGGATGAATCATGATAAATTTGGATTGATCTTGGTGGAAGTGAGACAGGCCAGGGTGTTGATGTGACAGACACATGCTTTTGTGAAGAGACGTGCTACAGGATAGCCTGCATTCGGAACGAACTGCTGTGAGTGTGAGTTTCTTCATTGAATGTTTACCCCGCAAGCTTGAAATTCATTGCTCACAAGAGTCCTTTCCGTTAAAAAAAATGTTCATATTATCAATCTCTCTAGACCTCTAAAGCGCATGATTGGGTGTGATTAGCCAAAGTTAGCCAAAGTTAGCCAAAGGATTTCAGAGCCAGAAATTCCAGAGTACTCCTACCTGAAACTTACGTGTTCCTTGTCAAAAGTCATGGCCAGGACTATCCCCCATACTGGGCGTGGCTGCAGAGCTTTCCGCCACTCGGTGTTTGCGATGTTCCCATGGGAAACCCCAGCCATGAAGATTTGATGCGCACACCATGCACAGCGTCCTGTTTCCCCACTGAGGGTCTGGGTGGTGTCGCCGCTGATGATTGTTCTGGCGGTGGTCACTTGGTCAGAAGATGATGCTTGGATACACGCAGTTCGAGGAGTTTGCCACTGTGTGCATCACTGTGTGCATGGAAGTGTGTAGGCCAACTGCACAAAAAGGAGAGTGGTAAGTGGTACTTCAATGCACTTCGCTTCAGGGAAAATTCAGGGATTCAGGAATCAGAATTTCAAGAGGGACAGTGACATAGACATAGACCTCATCTCAACATCCAGGAAGAACATCAGCAGGTTCATGCAAAGTTAGAGTCTGGAGAGATTCAAGGAAGAATGATTGTGATGCAAAGCGAATTACCTTCCGCCTCGGCATGCATGACAACTTTCATCTCAGGTTGCTATGGCGCTGCTCTTAGCAACTGTTTTTTGCAACTTCACTCAGGGTTCGGAAATCCAGAACATGATAGAACGTGTTTAAGTTTGCTATCAAGTTGCCATGTGTCCTTTGCCGTCAATTGTTTTGTCCGCAAAAAATTCAATCCACGTTTTAATCAATTGGATGAACTTGAAATAGCTGCTTAAATATGAGACTTTAATCAATTGCGGAATGCGCGCGCAAAATTCCATGTCTCTGGTGCTACGGCGGTGTGCTACGTTCTTATATAAGTGCTACTGCCGCCCAGATGGTCTTCCAGAATGCGGGCAGTATCGGAATCAGGCTCCAGATCAGTGTCACAGTGGATGTCTGAAACTAGGGTACCCCCAATTCCAGTGGGTTCTCATTTTCCCTTTGAAAAAATGGGTCATAACTGGGGTATCCGGTATCCACTATTTTCAAACAAACCCAAGTGGTAGAGTGGTGGAAAGCATTGGCACGACTCACGCCAGGCCCAAGCGATATACCATCGAGTGGATGCAGGCAAACCGTGAACGTGAACGTCAGGATCCGCATTTTGCTGAGCGTTTGGGGGTTGCATGATGGAACAATATGGAAAAATGCAATAGACAACAAGCAGAGGGAGTTTTCTCATTATATCCTGTGGTTGTAAATTAATATATATATATATAAATAATTATAAATACATATTGATATATATATATATGTGTGTGATTATATATATACATATAATTTACATATATATATATATATTAGTATATTATTATATATATATATGTATATATGGATATATATATATCCATATGTATATATATATCCATATGTATATATATATATCCACATATATATATATCCACATATATATATATCCATATATATCCACATATATATATATATATC